GCTTTCAGGAGTGCATATCACTTTGGCGGACCCAAATATGAGGGCAGGCTTGCTCTGCGCTCTTTCAAGATATCCTCTGAGCCCGCAGCAGATCTCGCAGAGAGCGGAGACGAGGCGCCTGATGAGCGTCGGCGGTTTGACGGGACGATATCTGTTGATGGCGTTCTTCGCGTCATCCGAGGGGACGGCAATGGCCCCTTATCCGCTCTGCTCTCTGCTCTGCGCTCTCATTTGGATATCGACCTCGCGATTCGCGAGTATTCGGAGCACGCAGTTGACGGCACCGCTGCATCCTACACACAAGCCGCATCCTACGTCGAGTTAGTACCTTCCGGCCCAGACGTGAAAGAATCGCGACAGTCCAGCGAGTCGTGGTGGGGTGTCGGAATTGATTCCGACATTGCCAGCTCTGGATTACGCGCGGTCCTGAGCGCAGTCAACAATGCCATCGGCACCAAAGCTCTTCCCGAGCTGAAGCTCAATGTAGGATTCAATACCACGTCTGGTCAAGCAGACATCGCCGATGCCATCGTCAACGCCTTGCAGCTAGAGCTCCCCCGTCGCATGCAGGCATCCTTCTTCGAGGTCGTTCAGCGTGCAGCCCAGAGCTCGAGCGGTCAGATCTCGTATGATGCACTCACAGATCTGTTCAGGCAGACATACGACTTCGAAGTGGCCAAACCCAGTCGCATTTCGATGAACACCTACAAGATGGATCATCTGGACGGCAACCGCCGCCAGCTGAATGCCGAGATCGCGTTTGAGCAGGATGTACGCAAGGTCACTGGCGAGGGCAACGGCGCGTTATCCGCTGTGTTAGCTGCGCTGCATTCGCAGATCGAAGGAACGCTAAAAATTCGAGAATACTCGGAACACTCGTTGGGCCGGGGGACTGAGGTGCAGGCGGCGTCTTACGTCGAGCTCTCATACGATGTGGCGGGAAGAGGGAAGGCCGCTGCATGGGGCGTGTCTACCGACACTGATATCACTGCATCTGGGTTAAAGGCAGTGTTGAGAGCTGCAAGCAGGCTGGACGTGGTCATGAAGAAGTGAAATTATCCAATAAAATGAAACTGTATATATATCCAAACTGTAATATGTAATAACGCTTTTCAAACCTTGGCCGAACGCTATGCACAGATATCATAATCAAAGGCGGTCGCTAGCTAGATAGTAACTAAAAAGGTTTTTATTTTGACTTATTTTTCTTTGTGCATAGGCCCAGTCTCAATGTCACTCGAACGTCGGTATCTGCGATATTGTTCGGAATACCACCGCGGCGCGAACTGGTATACACCACATGTCAAAAGCAAAACATTTCCGACGCCAGCAGGATTCGAACCTGCGCCCTACAAGAGGAATTGATAGTTCGAATGATTCGAATCAATCGCCGTAACCACTTGGCTATAGCGCCTTGAGAGCTTCGGCGATAGATC